TAAAGCATCTGCTTCCAAATCATTTACTCTTATATTAATAAGTGACTTTGATAAACACTTCGGAGCTGCGGCTAGTAGATTAGAATTACTTTGAGTACAGGCAGTAGTAGACTTGATGTTTAGTTTCTTGCCCTGACAAACTTTAGCGAAATGACCAAGCTTTTTACATTCTTTGCAAATAACATCCCTAGCAGGACAATTCACACGAGGATGTCTCTTATTTCCACAAAAATAACATTTCGCAAAGGAATTCGAAGCTGCGTTGCATGACTGACATGGTGATGGCCGGTTGGCTGTATCTTCTTGGGTAATATCTCTAGATTGCATTGCATTTCCAAAGTTTAATGGTTGAGTATAAGCTTCGGCGTGTATCTGAGCAGATTCTAAAGAACGTGCTTGATTTACTGCTGTCTCAAGGGTTAATGAAGCATTTTCAAGAAGACGACGAATTTGTTGGGAAATCAAACCACTTATGAAGGCATCTCTAATATAATCGTTACGATTTTCGTCACATTTAACAGACTTAAAGTTACAATCTTTACTAAGTATTTTTAAATTCTGAAGAAATTGATCTATAGTTTCATCTTCGCACTGTTTTCGGGTTATCAGCTTATGCCTAGCAAATATTTCATTTTTGGGTTTCACGTAAACAGTTATCAAACGTTCTATAGCAGTCTCATATGTAGTACACTCACTAATATATTTAAAGACGGATGGTGAAGTATAATTTATGAGTAAATTTAGTTTCTTTTCTTCTGTTAATATGGGTATCTCTTTTAAGAAATTATAGAATGTCTTATACCAGTAAATCCATGCATCAGAGGTAGTGCTTGAATTCGGATCCACATCTAATTTATCAGGCTGGAAGAGTCGACCCAAGAATAACTTGTTTTCAAGAATGGTAGCTGATGCTTTATTCGTTGTTAAAGGCATTATTTTTAATTGATTAAATTGAAATGAATTATACTCCTTTTGTAAAGGTTTAATTAATTAAAAATGAGTAACATTAATAACATAATGACAACTATAGAATAACCATAGAAATATTACCACAGAATGGTGATGAATGGTTAATAGAATTAACTTAGTAGATAGACAATTTATTTGATGTTCAGAAATTTAAACTTTGTTAGAATTTATTGATAATAAATTAGAAACTTTTGTATGTACAATTTGTCTATTTAAAAAAAAAATTACAGGGTGATACAACTAATAATAACAAAGATTAACACATAATATTATTGACTGATTATTACATAAACTACATCCTTAAATATAATTTTCATTTTAGAACAAGAGAACCAATCAATTTAATTAGATATAATATTAAATAAGTTTAGGTATTTTATTGTTGGAATTGTTGTTGTTACTATTTAACAAATAAACTAAACTAAATAAACTAAATAAACTAAATAAACTAAATAAACTAAATAAACTAAATAAACTAAATAAACTAAATAAACTAAATAAACTAAATAAACTAAATAAACTAAATAAACTAAATAAACTAAATAAACTAAATAAACTAAATAAACTAAAATAAACTAAATAAACTAAATAAACTAAATAAACTAAATAAACTAAATAAACTAAATAAACTAAATAAACTAAATAAACTAAATAAACTAAATAAACTAAATAAACTAAATAAACTAAATAAACTAAATAAACTAAATAAACTAAATAAACTAAATAAACTAAATAAACTAAATAAACTAAATAAACTAAATAAACTAAATAAACTAAATAAACTAAATAAACTAAATAAACTAAATAAACTAAATAAACTAAATAAACTAAATAAACTAAATAAAACTAAATAAACTAAATAAACTAAATAAACTAAATAAACTAAATAAACTAAATAAACTAAATAAACTAAATAAACTAAATAAACTAAATAAACTAAATAAACTAAATAAACTAAATAAACTAAATAAACTAAATAAACTAAATAAACTAAATAAACTAAATAAACTAAATAAACTAAATAAACTAATAAAATAAACTAAATAAACTAAATAAACTAAATAAACTAAATAAACTAAATAAACTAAATAAACTAAATAAACTAAATAAACTAAATAAACTAAATAAACTAAATAAACTAAATAAACTAAATAAACTAAATAAACTAAATAAACTAAATAAACTAAATAAACTAAATAAACTAAATAAACTAAATAAACTAAATAAACTAAATAAACTAAATAAACTAAATAAACTAAATAAACTAAATAAACTAAATAAACTAAATAAACTAAATAAACTAATAAACTAAATAAACTAAATAAACTAAATAAACTAAATAAACTAAATAAACTAAATAAACTAAATAAACTAAATAAACTAAATAAACTAAATAAACTAAATATAACTAAATAAACTAAATAAACTAAATAAACTAAATAAACTAAATAAACTAAATAAACTAAATAAACTAAATAAACTAAATAAACTAAATAAACTAAATAAACTAAATAAACTAAATAAACTAATAAACTAATAAACTAAATAAACTAAATAAACTAAATAAACTAAATAAACTAAATAAACTAAATAAACTAAATAAACTAAATAAACTAAATAAACTAAATAAACTAAATAAACTAAATAAACTAAATAAACTAAATAAACTAAATAAACTAAATAAACTAAATAAACTAAATAAACTAAATAAACTAAATAAACTAAATAAACTAAATAAACTAAATAAACTAAATAAACTAAATAAACTAAATAAACTAAATAAACTAAATAAACTAAATAAACTAAATAAACTAAATAAACTAAATAAACTAAATAAACTAAATAAACTAAATAAACTAAATAAACTAAATAAACTAAATAAACTAAATAAACTAAATAAACTAAATAAACTAAATAAACTAAATAAACTAAATAAACTAAATAATAAACTAAATAAACTAAATAAACTAAATAAACTAAATAAACTAAATAAACTAAATAAATAAACTAAATAAAATATTAAAATTTTTATTCTAAATAAACTAAATAAACTAAATAAACTAAATAAACTAAATAAACTAAATAAACTAAATAAACTAAATAAACTAAATAAACTAAATAAACTAAATAAACTAAATAAACTAAATAAACTAAATAAACTAAATAAACTAAATAAACTAAATAAACTAAATAAACTAAATAAACTAAATAAACTAAATAAACTAAATAAACTAAATAAACTAAATAAACTAAATAAACTAAATAAACTAAATAAACTAAATAAACTAAACTAAACTAAACTAAACTAAACTAAACTAAACTAAATAAACTAAATAAACTAAATAAACTAAATAAACTAAATAAACTAAATAAACTAAATAAACTAAATAAACTAAATAAACTAAATAAACTAAATAAACTAAATAAACTAAATAAACTAAATAAACTAAATAAACTAAATAAACTAAATAAACTAAATAAACTAAATAAACTAAATAAACTAAATAAACTAAATAAACTAAATAAACTAAATAAACTAAATAAACTAAATAAACTAAATAAACTAAATAAACTAAATAAACTAAATAAACTAAATAAACTAAATAAACTAAATAAACTAAATAAACTAAATAAACTAAATAAACTAAATAAACTAAATAAACTAAATAAACTAAATAAACTAAATAAACTAAATAAACTAAATAAACTAAATAAACTAAATAAACTAAATAAACTAAATAAACTAAATAAACTAAATAAACTAAATAAACTAAATAAACTAAATAAACTAAATAAACTAAATAAACTAAATAAACTAAATAAACTAAATAAACTAAATAAACTAAATAAACTAAATAAACTAAATAAACTAAATAAACTAAATAAACTAAATAAACTAAATAAACTAAATAAACTAAATAAACTAAATAAACTAAATAAACTAAATAAACTAAATAAACTAAATAAACTAAATAAACTAAATAAACTAAATAAACTAAATAAACTAAATAAACTAAATAAACTAAATAAACTAAATAAACTAAATAAACTAAATAAACTAAATAAACTAAATAAACTAAATAAACTAAATAAACTAAATAAACTAAATAAACTAAATAAACTAAATAAACTAAATAAACTAAATAAACTAAATAAACTAAATAAACTAAATAAACTAAATAAACTAAATAAACTAAATAAACTAAATAAACTAAATAAACTAAATAAACTAAATAAACTAAATAAACTAAATAAACTAAATAAACTAAACTAAATAAACTAAATAAAACTTTTTTAGAAATAGCTAATATAGACCCTTTCAGATATCTGACTGTTGCTTCAGTATGTATGGCTATATACAGAAGTAAATATCTTCCTAAAAACACAATAGCTGTTGTTGAAAACGAAAAAAAAAAAATAGATGTACAGCCAGGCATCCATTAGGGGTTGAATGTGAATGTGAGAATTCCCCTAACGGTGGTAAAACATATATGCGGTGCAAAAGTAGATGGGTATGATAAGGAAATAAATACTGTATACCAGTATCACGGTTGTTTCTGGCACGGCTGTCCTAAATGTTTCACCCATTCAACAGTGAATAGTGTAAATTTTGACACAATGGAGGATCTTTACGAAAAGACTACTCGGAGAAGCAAACAATTAAAAGAGGGTGGATACAGGCTGATCGAAATTTGGGAATGTGATTGGTGAAAAATCATCAGAATACAAAAAGGCTGAGCCTGTAAAAATTATGGAGCCATTAAAACCACGAGAAAATTTTTTTGGAGGTAGAACTAATGCCTCAAAACTAAAAGTAACTGGTAAAAAATGTCGTTATATATATGTGGTGAACCTTTACCCTAGTGTACAGTTTTTTGATTATTTCCCTGAGAAGATTTTTAACCCGACTGAATATAACCCTTCATGGTTTGGTTTGGTAAAATGGTAAAGTTTTAGCACCTCGTCAATTATATCATCCTGTTCTTCCAGTTAAAACGACTAAGTTAACGTTTGCCTTATGCAAATCATGTATGGAGAATTCCGTAAAACAATGTACTCACACAGATTCGGAAAGAATGTTTACGGGCACGTGGACCACCTTAGATCTTAATAAAGCTTTGGAAAAAGGTTACACAATTGACAAAATTTATGAAGTGTGTCATTTCTCTCAAAAATCGAATAACTTATTTAAAGATTATATACGTGATTTTATGAGAATAAAATTAGAGACCAGTCCTCACAGCTATGAATCTAACGAGGCTTATGCTTTGGTTATTAAACAACAGATGAATATTGAGCTTGAGTTAGAGAAAATAAAACCTAATCCTGGCAAAAGGGCTATAGTTAAAATATGCTTAAACTCATATTGTGGGGTAAGATGGCTCAAAAGGCAAATATGAGGCAGTCTGAGTTCGTTATTTCGTCTTCTAGATGGTACGAAATTTTACTAGATGATAAAATAGATATTTCTAATTGCATATTTATTAACGATAATGTTGTCCAGGTAAATTATAAATACAAAGACTTGTTTTACGAAGATTCTATATCCACAAATATATTTGTAGCGTCGTTCACAACGTCAAATGCACGCCTTAGGCTTTATTCTATGCTAGATAAACTAGGGGAAAATGTTGTGTATTATGACACAGATTCAATTATTTATATTGATGATGGTTGTAATACAGTCGAAACAGGTGAAATGTTGGGCGAGTGGACCGATGAGTTGGGTGAAGAGGACCATATTGTCGATTTCTTATCTACTGGCCCCAAAAGCTATTACTATAAAACGCTAAAGGGTAAAAATGTTACAAACATTAAATTCTTTACCTTAAATTATGAAAACTCTGAGGTATTGAATAATAAAGGTATGTTAGAGGTTATTAACAACCCTTCATCGGAAATTAATTAAGTCTATGATCAAATAACCAGAAATACCAGTACCAAAGACATTGTGACTAGGAAGCGTGTATCTAAAACGTTTCGTATGTATTATAAAAAAAAAGGCGTACTCTTGACAATGAAGTAGGCGTTCTCAATACAGTTTCTTGGGGTTTTTAATGATTATTTGTTTTTAAGTGACCCCCGTATTAAATCAAAAAAAATCAAAAAAATACGTGTGGCAGTCGGGGACTGCCGCGGTAAAGCTATTGCATAGCATTTTTTGTCAACTTATGCAATTATAATTATTTATTTATTTTATTTATGCAGTATTTTTTTCTTTGATATTAATTCAAGTTTTTTCTTTGGTATTAATTCAAGTTACACTTTTTGAGCGAGGTGACCGATAAGAAAACAAATTTTTTTCTATTATTGAATAAATGAAAAGTTAATATTGTTTAAAATAGTTTTATTATCTTACAATACATGTAGGTTATTCAGGAATTTTTATCATTGAAACTATAGGTTTATGGTAACTGAAATAAGAAACATAAGTTTGAGACTTGATATCCTCTAAATATCTGGAAAATACCGCGTCAATGGTGGTCCCGTATTTTGTTGTGGATTCTAGTGGATCATTATTCATTTTCAAATTAAATTTTTCCGAAATTGTGTCTAAAAGAGATAGAATCAGTTATGAGCAGTTAGCAGCTAGTCTACAACGCATACGTCTAGTCGCACGTACACAAACACCGCGCCGAAGTCTACCGAACTGAAACGACGTTAGAAATGCACGGCTTTCAACGCCGCAGCGCTGTGCCGGTCAGAGTGGGGGGTGTTAGGTTTATTTTCGTTACGGAATTTCTTTTTCGATTTTTAGATTTTTTCGATTCTTCAATTTTTCAATTTTTCAATTTTTCAATTTTTCAATTTTTCAATTTTTCAATTTTTCAATTTTTCAATTTTTCAATTTTTCAATTTTTCAATTTTTCAATTTTTCAATTTTTCAATTTTTCAATTTTTCAATTTTTCAATTTTTCAATTTTTCAATTTTTCAATTTTTCAATTTTTCGATTTTCTTTTATTGAATAAATTGTTTAATTCCGCACCGCTGTGCCGGTCGGAGTGGGGGGTGTTAGGTTTATTTTCGTTACGGAATTTCTTGATTCGGTCGCCGCGCTTAAAGCCCGCGCTATGCAATAGCTTAAAAACTGTAAACCTCAAAAAGATCTAAACTAATAACGGGAACGGGAGCACAAAAAACAGTCTTTTTCAAGACTTATCCTTTACACCTATCCCATATTTTACTATTTAAAGAAGATACCAACGCCCAGCGACAGCTGATTCCAATAATTAGAGTCGTTGAGGTAATAAAGAGTCATTTAAAACAAAAAAATCGCTCAAAAAGCGGTTAAACTAATCACGCAAAAAACAGTCTTTTTTCAAAACTTATCCTTTACGCATATCCCAAATTTTGTATTTAAAAAAGATGCCCAACATTGTAATTGAGAATACTTTTTTTTGCATAGGCACATTGCCATTCAGCCAGACACAGATCTACCCAAGAATATTTCCTAACAGCAAGAGGTGTAAGAAGAAGAAAAACAATATAGGACGGGGACACTCGCTTCTCGTCCAGGGACCCATCAGGACGTTTTTTTTTAATAGACAAACAAAATTAGGCCTCGGTAAGAGGGTAAACAAATAGGTAAAATCTTGGTGTCTTTCAGAAATTGTAAGAGGCAGTTGATATCATCAGAAAAATGTGTTAAAGCTGTTTCAATATTTAAGGGAGATGGAATGTTATTTTTTATAAGATTCATATAAAGCGTGTTTGAATGTACTGGGTAATTCTTGCATTCGAAGAAAACGTGATTAAGGTCTCCGGTTGTTTCACAAAATTCGCAATTTTCATCTTCTTTTACATTAATTTTAAACAAGTGTTTGGGATAACTGGCATGACCAAATCTGGGTCTATCTTGGAATTATATGATTTTTAAACCAGAGTGAGTTTGGAATATGTCTTTGAATTTTAGTGTACTGATTCGAATAAGTGCAACAGAATTGTGACCAATCATGTCTCCATTTTCTCATATTGTTGGATTTTATCAAGGCGACAATATCTGGGCTACAGATGTTATGAATGGTGTTGGTTCCTTTTTTTATTGCAGATTTTGCTAGCATATCAACATATTCATTGTGTTGAAGTCCAATATGAGCCTTTACCCATATAAAGCATATCTTTACGTTATTATTAGTTGGAACAATGCCTTTTAGATCAAGAAAATGTATGGATTAGAATTAAAATTTGGAATATCCAGAGCTACAACCGATTTTAAAACAGATAAAGAATCTGAAGCTGCTTTAGTGTTAGATTCTGTTACAAATTGTAAGGCTTCTAGTATCGCAATCGCTTCTGCAGTGTAACTAGAAAAATTATTAGCTAATTTGTAAAGAGCTTTAATATGTAGTATGCGCAACCAGTGCCTAAGTCTGACTTGGATGCATCGGTGTACATAACAGTATGTTCAGGAAAGCTATTTACAAAGGAGTAGATTTGAACAATTATGAGGATTTTCATCATAATTGGGTTGTCTAAGTAAGACTTTAGTAAAGAAACAAGGAAAGTCGGATGTAATGAAGAATTGGTCGAAAGAACCTAGGGAATCGAACGCTATCTCACAATTTTGAACAGCTTTACATAACGGCGGTGAGTTTTTATAAATCCAGTATTTATTTGTTAGATCATATGTATTAAGTTGAATAATTTCAGAAAATAAGGTTGAGTTATGTAAGAATGCCTTAACGAGAAATTTTTGACTTAGGAATTTTTGACTTAGGTATTCTATTCTATATTTAATGGGTGGCTCTACACCTTCGATATAAAGGGATTCAGTTTTAGTAGATTTCATAGCACCCAAGCATGTGCGTAGTACAGAATTTTGAAAAACTAACTTTTTCAGTAAAGAATTGTTGGCCGATCCATACAAAATACACCCATAGTCCAGTATAGATCGAATGTAGGATCTATAAAATAGTAAACCTGTATTAACATCGGCACCTAACCAAACTTTCAAGATAGATTTTAGAAAATTTAGACCTGTTTGACACCTGTTCAACGCATATTCAATGTGATGTTTCCACGTGAGCTTCTTATCGAAGATCATTCCAAGATATTTAGCGTGTGTTTGTAAAGGAAATTCTTGTTGTTTTAAATTAATTCAAAAAGGAAAAACTTGTATTTCGTGCAAAACTTTTTTATTATTCAATGCAAAGCGCTTTCGGCTTATTTGCCATCATCAGTGCTCATTGTCCACAACGTATCCAACAAGTTCCTGGTCATCCTCACTCCCAAAATTATATATTTCGGGATGTTTACAACTTGCTAAATCATAATTTTATTAATATTAATATTTTCAAATTTAAATTTATCTCTTCATTTTGGTTCAAGTTGTTTAACCGTTTCCACATGACAGTGGTGACAAGCGACACTGAAGTGTATATATATTTATATATATATATATTTACATCTTTCTATCAATCCCAAGCCAATTGGAGATTCTATCAAACCTGAACCACCCAAAAATAATAAAGTTGGATAAGTATATTTAATGTATATTGGAAACAGAGGGTCTCTTTATCTGTAATATGAAATGTATACTCTGAATATTTCATTAAAAAAATTTAATTTTTCTAAAGATTTTACTGGATCAGTGCAATCCTGAACCATTAGAAGATTGATACAATCTTGAACCATTTTATACAGTTTTGTTCACACTAATCGTACAATTCTGAACCTTCGCTCAGTTGCCAAATGTAAATTAAGTATGAAATCTACGATTTAGTGATACGAGAATAGTCATAAAATCTAACTGTTTATATAATTCTAAACTCTGAATTGAAATTTAAAATAATTTAAGTTGGATTATGTAAACACATTAAAATCACTCTTGTGACTAGGGCAGTTTGGTCGAGATATTAAGAGCAAACTAGATATATGGATGTATTTTCTCATAAATAGGAAATCCGATAAAAAAAACTTTTTAAATAAAATACTTACAATTTACGATTTTTCCTTACTTTTGCAATTAAAAAAAATTAACAGGTAAGATAAAAAATTAATTTTTGACATTTTACAATAAACCAGATTTACAACGCTTTCCTATAAAAATCTTACCCCCCACCATCCCATAGAGGGAGAATGGGGGTGGTATTCCCAAAATATTAGGTTAAAACTTTTTAAATAAAACAGTTTGAATTCCAAAATTTGGTCAAAATGATAGGGGTAAATTTTTATAAAAAAAAGTTAAAACTTATGTCTTTTACAAATGTACCAAAAATAAGAGTTTTATCTCCTCAGTGATGATTTTTATAAATAATATCAAGTTGTTTGTTGCCGTTCATTCTGATAATCAAAATTTTATTTGGAATCATACCACATATGGCTGACAATTTAAAAACTTACGAAAACTTATATCTCATGAACTGGATGTAAGAAAAAAATTAAAATCTGGGAACTTGCAAGATGTCTTGGGGCTCATTTAGCTATTCCTATTGACCGGAAATAGATCTTAAGTCGCTTATTTTAAATACGGCATCCTATTATTACAAATTTGAATTTTACTTCAGATTCTGGGCAGGTTTTATGTATCATATCATATGCCGAAGTCAGAGCGATTTTACATATTTTAGTTTTTATGTCAAAAATGACGTTGGTAAGCCCTCATATAATTATCAGTTAGTCCTATAAAGAAGTCCTTATATCTACTTCGGATTGGATTCCTTGGGTTTAAGGTTTAAAATGAGATTAAGAAAACTGCCAAAAATCGATTTTTCAAATGGAACAACCCATTTTTCTTATTTTGTAGTATTTAGCATCTAAAATAAAGGTAACCTTGTATAAAGTCGTCCACAGGGTGGTCCGTTAATAATGAGATTCAGAGCTACTTTATAAAAGTATTGCGATATAACACAATTTACCTTAGTTCAATTTTTGATATTAAAGAATATACATAGTGTTAAAATAGATAC